TCCACACCCATCTATTAGATATTGTTACCTCAGGCAAATTAAGAAAAATGTAGAAGAGCTATTAAATCTTTTGTCTAGTCACCTATTACATACTTTTTTTTAATAGTATTGGGAATTCAACCCAGGGCCTCACACATGCTAGGCAAGTGCTTTACCAATGAACTACATCTCAGGCCCTTTTGTATGGTATTTTATGCTTGCAGTCTGAAACCAAGGTCTTTTCTGAAACAGGGTTTAGTTAAATTGCACTAGCCCCAAATTTAACAATCTTTCTGCATCAGCCTCCAAGTACCTCAGATTATGGTCATGTGCCACTTCACCTAGCTGTTTAATTTTTTTTTAAAGACGAAATTTTATTGGAGAATAGGAATGAGGAATAAGAATAGATCCTGGGAGACAGGAGGGTCCCAAATGGGTTGACTCCTGTTTAATTTTTTAAAAATACATGTTAGCTGGGTTTGGTGGCGCACGCCTGTAATCCCAGCACTCTAGAGGCAAAGGCAGAAGGATTGCTTAGAGTTCAAGGCCAGCCTGAGCTACATAATGAGTTCAGGGTCAGCCTGAACTACACAGTGAAAACCCTGCCTCAAAAAAACAAACAAACAAAAACAAAACAAAAAAAAGTACATGTTAGCCAGGCATGAAGGTGCACACCTGTAATCACAGCACTTGGGAGGCTGAGGCAGAAGGATCACCGCGAGTTACAGGCCAGACTGGGCTACACAATGAGCTCAAGGCCAGCCTGTACTACACATGAGAACCTGTCTAAAAAAAAAAAAGCTACAAGCCTAACTTTACTCCCAGAAAGTCAATAAATATTTACCTTAATATTTTCTTTAAAAGTATATGCTATTCTATAATTCCTTTTAAAGTCATTATTCAAGTTTTATAAAAATCTGGTTCAGTAGGGCCAGGCATGGTGGCTCATGCCTGAGATCCCAGCACTTGGGACACTGAGGCAGGCAGCCAGTCTGGGATTCATGGTGAGTTCAAAGTCAGCCTGAACGGCATAGTGAGACCCTGTCTCAAAAAAAAAAAAAAAAAAAAAAAAAAAATGTTTGTTCAGCAGTTTTACAAAAATGAGGGGAGGTAGCCAGGCATGGTGGCCCTCACCTATAGTCCCAGAATTCTGGGAGGCTGAGACAGAAAGATCACCAAATTGAAGCCCACCCTGGGCACCTTAGGGAAACTCTGTCTTAAAACAAAAAATTAAAAACAGGTCTGGGAAGGTAGCTCAGTGCAAAGTCCCTCCTTTCAATCCTCAGTATTGGAAAAAAAAAAAAAAGAGGGAAGGGGTGGCGTGGCTAGTTGCCTGATTTTCTAATCTCAACTTGGATAATGAGTGAGAAAAAAGGAATAAACTAAGGAGAGATTTTAATGAAAAGAAATAATTTCTTCTCTCAGGTCTCCTGAAATAATTCTAAAATCTATAGAGCTCTGCTGGACAGACCACACCGGTGTATATGCTGGGTAGTATTTGATTTCCCACAATCCCATAACTTTAAAAAACCTAGTTCAAAATATTTAAAGTCACAAGCAAACACTCACCTTTGTATCTACTGTATAGTTGTTCTAACTTCTTCCTGTCCAATGATCCTTTTACACTCTCTCGTATATACAGTTCAGGGTTTTGGAAAAAATTATCTGTTGCAACATCTAACTTCCAGTCATTTTGAGAAAGACAACTTACTGCAGTTTTTTCACTAGATTGTGTGAAGATCATAAACTGTCGAACTTTATCCTTCTGCGATGATTTCAACTTGTTCTATTGAAACCAGAAAATAAACTGAAACTCTATGTAAAATCACATAAGACTAAGTATTTTTATATGACTGGCTAATCATTCTTAGTAACATTTTCCTCATAAAACATTAAAACATTTTAAGATTGATGTTAATAATCAGAATTTTTTTTAAAATCTGAAATGAGAACAAGGGGGAGGGGGAGAGGAAAGAAGGGTCAAGAAAAAAAGAAGGAAAAAATGGAGACAAAACTTTGGTAAATAAGGAGGGGAAGAGGAGTCAAAGGGAGGAGGAAATGGGAAAAAAGAAGCAAGATGCATCATGTACAGGTGCAAACTCCCTATGATGAGTGTGATCATTGTGTTGATCTAAAATGGACCAATAAATGTTTTGCTTCAAAAAAATCTGAAACACAGAACTTAGTAGATTTGGAAAAAGAAACCAGCCAAGGCTAAGAAGCCTCAGCTACCCTGCTAAGGGTGCTTCTAGGGGGAGCAAGTACTAAGAGCATGTATGGTATGGAGGCTCTAGAAGGAAGTGCTGCTGCTACTCTCCAAATCCTGACCAAGCCAAAGCTCCAAGGGAAAGAGCAAAGACAGGCAGGGGAGAAGAGGCACTATTTAGCCAGTCAGTCAGATGACGCTGATGAACAATGGCGTTAACAGGCGTTTGTTGCAGTCCTAATATCTTCTATAAAAGATCCCCAGGGCCATGTCATAGTATCCGCACTGTTTTTCTGCCACTTTTAACAAATAAAATAGAATGTCAGTATTCTACATTTCTCCTGGTGGTATTCAGGAACTATGTAATTATCACTAGAATTTCCTCACATCTTCACTCACATGGAAACTTTTATGTAGGATTTCTCCCTCTCTTTCTACTGAAGAAATCACCTCTTTTCTTAGCCTGACCCTAACAGAGGCCCTTCCTTGCTCTCCTCAAAATGCCCTCCTGCTGTAATAACCTCTTCATCTGCCCCAGGCTGACAAGGATTCACTTCTCATCTGACTTGAACCCAAAGCAGAGTGAGGCAGAGTAATCAGGCTCTCCACTCTCCTAGTATCAAGAACCATGCTCACCCTCCTCTCTCACCCAAGCTAGGTTTCCTGCACAACGTCAGCCTCCCCAGTGATAGATTCTCTTCCCCCTCCTACTACAGCCTCTCAGCAAAATAGCTGGGTTCCTCTTATGCTAGCTACTGTGGTAAACAAGGAGAAAGAAAATACTTGAGAATGGCCACATTAACAGGTATCCTGTAGTTTAAGGAACACATGTGAGAACTCAGAATCTATGCTCTCGCCCAAATGAATAGATCACAATCCTCAACTCCCTGACTGGATTACATGAGAAAACACACCCAGAAGATTAAGGCACTGGGTCACAAAACCCACTCGAGTTGTTTAGTAGAAATGAGACAAGAACAAAGAGATCTCATATATCTGTCTTATTAATCTTTCTATAAACAATGCTTGCTGTACTTATTTATAAAGCTTCTGAGATTCTCAAGGAAAAGACCACCAAAGATATAAATATGTGTACCTATCACAAAGACAATGCAAATTCAAGCATGAAAAACCAACCCTAGGTGGGCGTGGTGGCACACGCCAGTAATCCCAGCACTCAGGAGGCTGAGGCAGGGGCACTGCCAAGTTGGAGGCCAGCCTGAATGACAGCAAGACCCTGCCTCAAAAAAATTTAAAAACTGGCCAGGCATGGTAGTATACGCCTGTAATTCCAGAACTCAGGAGACTGAGGCAGGAGGATAGCTGTGAGTGCCAGACCAGCCTGGGCTACATAGTGAGTTCCAGGTCAGTCTCAACTACATAGTGAGACCTGTCTCAAAAAACAAACAAACAAACAAAAAAATTAAAGACATATCTCTTGCAGTATCAAATAGGTTTATGCCCAGGAGTCTGATCTGTTGACCAACTCCTTTTCATAAATGTTACTGTTTAGAATTACATATTAAAATATCAACCTCTGTTCTCCATTAAAATTGAGGTGCTCTGAATACACTAACCTATTGCTATTGCACTGCTAACTATACCACCTCTGGATATCAGGTAAATCATATCCCATTATATGACATGTCTCTCAAATATCTAGGATTCTTCCCTTCTGAAAATGATTTCCTCTTTTAGATTCATTATTAAATAAAAACAAATTCAATGACATCAAAGGCCAGGGAAGATAAACCTATTTTGATTTCAACTTTTGCTCTTATTATTTTAAAAGTTAGTATCTCTTTCTCCCTTGAACCATATGGTACACTGACATTTTAATACTCCTCTGGAGAACAGAGAAGCAGCTGAGGGCCACAGTGATCATCACTGATTGCTACATAACGCTGTAGGAAGTGTTGGGGATTTAATCCGGAAGTACCAAACACAGGCCACATCCCAGAAATTAATTTTTAATTAAACCTGGCATAACTTCTTACATAACCTTCTCCCTACTTTCTTAAACATTACAGACAACAAAACAATTGCATTTACTTGGGCTTCTAGCATATGGTATTAAATTCAGTGCTCTGTTCCCCAGTTGTAATCTTTGTTGGCGAGAGGAGGTAGAACAGCGTAAACCAGGTATGGTGGCACACACCTGTTATCCCAGCACTGGGGAGGCTGAGGCAGCAGTTTGAGGCCAGCTTGGGCTACACAGTGAGTTCAAGGCCAGCTTGGAACCCATAGTGAGACCCTGTCTCAAAAAACAAAAACTCAGATTAAAGTCACTTCTGAGCCCAGAAGAGCTGTTCACTGAGTTCCTATCACACACAAAGCAAGACACTAGAAATTTAGGGGAACAAAGATAAGACTGTCTTACCACACAAATTTAAAAATTACACAAATAAATTACTTAATTCCATGTCATATTTCGTTTTTCAAAAAACTCCATGAAATAAATACTGTACTATAAATGTCAACAATTTTAACTGGTTCAAGTAGAAATTTCTGGTATCTGGAGTAATACCAATATATTTTAAGAAAAAGTGTCAGAGCCAGGTGCCTATGGTGGCACACAGTGCTGGCACATGCCTGTAATCCCAGCACACAGGAGGCTGAGGCAGGAGGATCCCTATAAGTTCAAGGCCAGCCTAAATTACACAGAGAGACCTGTTTCAAAAAACAAAACAAAACAAGAGCTACAGCTATCTATTTCCAACACCATAAAGCCTAAGGAGTGATGCTTTGCTAAAAAACGTATAGTATGGATTCCAGTTATGACAAGAGGTTAAGGGCAATCCATTTCTGCAAAGTCTGTAAGTACCCTCCACACTTCACATACATATAACGTACTCTATTTCTCTGTTAGCTTTCTGGGCCTAAAGTTAAGTTTTAACACTTATTGCCCAGCCAGGGAGGATCTACTCAATTCTGCAGTGTCAAAGGCTGTCCTAGGGTAGATCACAGATACCAACCCTCTTCTCAGGCCTATTTAGGAGAGGACACTGCCGTCCCTCCTCAGGCCACATAGGTGCTACCAGCCAAAGTGTTCTGTTTTTGAGAATATCGCATCAAAAGTTTAAATTTTTATCAACTTAAGGAAACAAGGCACATACGAAAGAACTATTTTATGGAAGGGGGATAGAAAACTGAGGTGGAAGAAAAAAATTCTATTTCTGTTACAAACCAGTAGCAATCCTCCCAAGAGAAAAACTACAATGGTTCAGCACCCAAATGTAGTATATGCTATTTACTTATTTAAAAGGAACACACTTGAGTGGCCATTAAATAAGATTAGGAAAAAAAAAAAAATAGGCAATACACTATTCAATCTTTAGGATTAAAACTGGCTAGATACTATCAAGTTTTCAAGGAAACTCATTAGTGAAAATTTATAAAACACTATATATTTTATTTTAAATTTAGCAAAAAGGGGGGATACTTTCTGTAATAAAAAGCTAATTGTGATTTTATCTAAATTTAACAAAGCTAAGAAATACTATCTTAATCTGGATAGTAAAACCCACTTATTTGCTTATCTTTCCAAAATAGAAATGGCTAGCTTATCAACAACCCATTTTGGGTGGGTGTGGTGGCGCTTGCCTGTAATCCCAGTACTCAGAGGCTGAGGCAGGAGGATCGCTGTGAGTTCAAGACCAGCCTGGGCTACATAGGGAGTTCCAGGTCAGTCTCGACTACACAGTAAGATCCTCTCAAAAAAAAAAAAAGAAAAGAAAGGAAGAAACCATATACAAAAAAACACCGTTTTATGCTCAAATTTAGTACATATACACTTTTTTTAAAAAACTGCCCCCCCCATTTTTTTGTTTTTTTGAGACAGGGTCTCACTATGTAGGTGAGGCTGACCTTGACCTCACTATGCAGCCCAGGCTGTCCTTAAACTCACAGCAATACTCCCGCCTCAGCCTATTGAATGCTGGGACTACAGGCATATGCCACCACACACAGCTCAAATGCTAAAAAAAAAAAAAATTAAATCACATTTAAAATGGAGTTTAAAAGGCCTGGGATTTAGCTCAGTGGCACCACATCTGCCTTGCAAGTACAAGGTCATGAGTTCAATCTCCAGTACATGAGTTCAATCTCCAGTACCAAATAAATAAATAAATAAATAAAATATATAGTTTAAGGCAGTGATGGAGAACCTTTCAACAGACCGAGGGCCCAAACTGCAACCAGCACCAACACTGCAATTAAACTCGAACACTGAGGTTTTAGTTTAGAAAAAACAACTGTATTCACTGCTCAGCTGCTGGGGAAATGCGGCTCGGGTGCGAACAGGTCTCCGGGTACCCACTGTTGCATGTGTGCCATAGGTTTGCTGCCACTGGTTTAGGGGCTGGAAGCATAGCTCAGGGGCAGAGTTCATGCCTAGCATGTATGAGGCCCCAGATTCAATCCCCAGCATCAAAACTACAACAACATTATCATCATCATCATGATTATTATTTTTATCTGAAAAAAATTCAGAGTGACTCGGATGTAGACAAGTACAATATCAAGTATATTTTACCACTGAACCTTCAAGTATTGGAAACAGAAGAATAGAGGCTCAAAAA